CACACGCACACGCACACGCACACGCGCACACACACACACGCACACACACACACACACACACACACACATAAACACACATAATAAAAAATTCAAAAGCACAGGTTCTTTTCTGATTATATATTATCAATGAATGCTCACACTTTCTATCCCAGGATGGTCTAAGTTCATGACATAGTATGCACACAGCTGTTCAGCTTCAGATGATTTTATGCTGAATGTCAAAATTTGGCAGAATGAATACAGACTCTCAAATTTAAGATCTTTTCTTAGCTCTCGCCTCTCATCTTGAAAGCACTAAATTTGAATCACCTCCTCTAGCAGTCCTGCCTGTTAAAAATCAGAGTGGAAATTACCGCTCAGAAATTGGCTTTTGTTAGATACAGCCTCATGACTGTGGGGACCATCCGTGATCAGGCCTAGGGGTGGGAGAGCAATTATAGGTATTATGTGAACATTAGGAAAGTTAGATTAAAGTCAAAATTAGGGAACACAGAGCAAGGCTTGCTCTTCTCCTCCAAGATACATGTGTTCGCAGCATGGGTTGTCAGTTCTCCGTGTCCAGGGTACAAACTTGAGAGGATGGAGCTGTGTGAGCCAAAGTTACATTTTTAGTTTTAATTACTGTGCCTTAGAGATCTATAAAACAAAAATGCCTCTGATCTGCAAGCCCCTTGCCTAAGGACAGATAGTTCCTAAAATGCTGGAGGCTATTGTTAATGGGAGATAACAAGCCACATGCTTTCACTTCCCTAAACAAGTTTGTTTGACCCATCAGTACTGGATGTACTTGATCACATGTGGGTGGGAGTTACCTAGGCAGGAAATATATCAAGATACATGCTTGTTCCTGATCAGACCTGATGGGAAATGCAGTGAATTATGGGTTTTCCTTCTTAAGCCCACGCCATATTTGATTCTGGGCAGTTTCCTGGGAACCTGGGTATGGACCTGGTGAGGGCCCATCCACCTGGCCAGTATTTAATTAAAGCTTGCTTCATTTTTGGCTTTAAACTGTGATGGTAGTCTTATTCTTGATGGGTGAGATTAACAGTAGCACTGATTTCTACAGACTGCAGGGCCATTTTCTCAAACTATCAGCTTCTTAAAGTGGCAGGCCCACATTTCTAACATATGTAAACATTATATTTACTTTGCTTTTTTTATTTTTATTTTTAGGAGAGAGAGAGAGAAAATAAAATAGTATGTGGGTGCCCTTGCCAACCAACAACCTTGATATTAGGTGAATCACCTCCCTCGATTGCATGTGTATTCAACAAAGCTCAAAATGATCCCCATTTCCTCAAGTTTTATAGGAGTCAGAACTTTAAAAAACAAAAACCAAACAACAAAAAGCCCTAACATTTAGTAGGAGCTGAATGAATCCTTTTCTTGGCTGTTTTTCAGGTTCTCTGAAATACTTCTTCTTAAGCCACTAAAACAACAGAAACCATGTGCAGCCCTATTGTCGAAGACAACAATGTGAATTTAAATGAGGTACGGTATTGTTTGTGCTTTCTTTTATTTCTGGTGCCTTTCTTGGACTTGCCAAGGGTTCTCTAAACCAGTCGATGTCAATCTCTGGGTCGCAACCCCTTTGGGAGTCAAATATCAGATATCATGCATCTCAGAGATTTACCTTATGATTCATAACAGTAGCAAAATTACAGTTAGGAAGTAGCAATGAAAATAATATTATGGTTGGAGGTCAACACAACTCGAGGAACTGTGTTAAAGGGTCCCAGCATTAGGGAGGTTGAGAGCTGCTGCTCTAAACCATTTTGGAAATTAATAGCATACGGCGTTAATGTCTTCAGTGAAATAAAAACCTGTCATCCGGTTTTCTGAGGGGTGGTCAACAGGGTGCTATCCTTCTCTTGGGATCATTTTCTTCTAAATATCTTATACATGTTGCTTTGCTCATTTGGGAATTTCACAATCTGTAGTGGGAACTGAAGGTTTTGAAATACACATAATCTAATTACTTTATTTTTTTAAGATTTATCTTTATCTTTATGTGTATCTGTCACTCGTGAGCAGACGACAGCAGAGGCCAGGAGAGGGTGGTCCTCTCCTGCAGCTGGAGCTACAAGTGGGGGTGACCCACCCAAAGTGGGCTCTGGGGACCAAACTCAGATCCCCTGGATGCACTTCGTTTGTTTGTTTGTTTTTAATTAATTAGTTTTTATTTTATGTGTTATGAGTGTTTTGCCTGCATGTATGTATGTGCACTAGACATGTGCCCAGTACCTGAATAAACCAAAAGAAGGCATCTGATCCCCTGGAAGGCACTGGGGTTATAAACAGTTGTGAGATGCCACATGGTTGGTTGGGAATTAAAACCCTGGTGCTCTTAATTGCTGAGCTGTCTCTCCTGTCCTGTAATCAATAACTATGTTTATTTGCATGTTGGTTGGTTGGTTGGTTGGCCGGTTTGTTTTGGGACAGGGTCTCATTATGTAGACTAGGCTGGCCTTGAGCTCACAGAGATCTGTCTGGCTCAGCCTCTGAGTGCTGGAACTGAAGACATTAGGTCCATTAACTTGTGTATCAAGGAAAGGACACTTTAAGATCCTTCCAAGTACAGATAAAAAAAATTAGCTCCCAGGTACAGACATTTCAGTGAGTTTGTTGTTGTTATCTTAGTAGACCATTTCTCCTTCTTTTGAGTCCCACTCTCATCTAATCAAGCAGCGTGTTGCCTAAAATGGTACCCTGTGAGTATATAAATACAGCTTTCCAATCACACCAAGTTTCTCTTGAGATCTTCCGTAGACCACCAATCAGAGACCTCGCCTGGGAGCTGGCTCCTGATTGGTGGAAACAAGTTGCAACAGTAGAATGTCAAAGAGCAGAAAAAAAAGAAAGAATAAAAAGCATAGCAACAACAGAGTTTGCTGTCCTCACCCCCCTCAGCCTAGGCCAACCTGGACTCCTTCATCCCAAATGAGGTGGCCCCTACCTTTTATATGAAGGCTCTGATTCACCATACAGTGGTGATCCATCTGGTAACATGGCAATCCAACACAGACCGGAAGAGAAAACTGAGCAGCACAGCTAAAATACAGTGTATTCCCAGGTAAAACAGACGAATGCTTCCATTCAAAATGGATTACTCTGAAAAGCTTCAGTTACAAAGCCACAGAAAGTCCCTAGTGACCGGAACCATGTGGGTGAGCAGTATTGTCTGTTGCCACTAAGTGGCAGCAGCTGTGAATGACAAGGCTCACAGATGTGTGTGAACTCACCCTCAGACAGGAATGTCTGCTCACTCAGGGCCCTGTGGCCTGGCAATGTGGGGCAGAGGCCTTGAGAGTGGGTTCCAACCAGGAGTGAAGTCTCCCTTTGTGCTTTTCTGGAAGAAGGGATTTTAATCATCATATGTGTTCTCCTTGTTTTCAGGATCCACGCTGTGGAGACAGGATGAAACTCACCAGTGAAAAGTTGCCCAAAAACCCTTTCTCTCTCTCTCAATATGCTGCTAAAAAACAGAAATTCTTCCAATGGAAGAAGGAAAAGCCTGGTATAAAATATGAATGTTAAATCTTTGCTTGAATAATATTTTTACTGAAATTCCATGTATGCTAGAAAGAACAAGAAAAGAAAGGCATATCATTGGTTTCCAAGAGGTAGTAATATTACATTCCTTTCTGGCTCTCCTGGAGGTTGGTGACCTTCTTAACTCAGACAGCAAGCTGACCCCGGAGGTGTCTCACAATTCAAGCTTGATTATGATTTTACCCTCAGGACTTAAGGATAGCTTCTAAAAAAGAGAAGTCGGGTGTTGCTTCCCTCAGAGAATGCGACATGGTGCTTTACTGCAAATAGATATTTAAAGCTATTTTTATATAGGCTTTAACAACTCAAGTGGAGATGGTCATCTCATTTGATTAGTACCTTCTAAGTATGGCTCAAGCTAAGCATTTAACTCACCCACAAGACAGCTTTGCTCAAAGGATGCAGAGACTGCATTCGAGTGCCTAGCTAGCAATGAACAGTAGTCCCAAACTCAATAAGCATTTATTGATTATATAAGGTGTTGTATTAGGTGCTGTGATCATGACACGGCTTTTCTTGGAGCTACATTTTAGGAAATAGAAGTTGAAAAGAAACTGATATTAATAGCATCTAATGAATCCTCCGTTACATATGGCTTTAAGAGAGAATGTTCACATTATATAGTTAATGCAATTTTTACCTTTCTGAATCAGATTATTACCGCCATGCTAATTTGGTGGATACAGCATTGCAGTTCCTAAAAGAAAGAATAAAAAGAGGGGATGCTATGGCGTATTTTCTAAGAGGTCAACTCTATTTTGAAGAGGTACCATTTTTGGTCTTTTTTAAATTTTATTTTGTATAATTGTATTGTTAGGACTTAATTGTTGGGGTTACTTGGTATTAGTGGAGCAATTATATAGAGTAGATAAGGCCTTGGATCCCACCCACAGTGTCACACAAAAAGGTAGAGGCAGCAGATGGTCACGGCAAACTTTCAAGTGAGTTTCTTAGACTGTTATGCCTGAGAAATTCTGTGAAATCACATAGGCTATGGTTTTGCGGCTTTATGTGGGGCACACAGATGTAAGATTAAGGGGCTATCTGAAGTTATTATAAAGGAGTCATTTTGAAAGATCCATTTTCCCACTGTAAGTTGAAAACATACATTTTATAGTTTTGTTCACAATATGTAGTATCATTCATAAGCTATTTGCATATTAATAATAATTGAATTCCCTGATTATTTGATATGAAAAGTAGCTTTTCATGTATTTTATACATCATGAGGAAGCAATTTCCTTACTTAGCCACTTTATGGTGGGATAGCTTGGTAGGTAGTCCTAAGAGAAATTCTGTGTGCTATCATATCAGCTTCAGTACTAGAGCTTTGGTTTTTCATCAGACCCCAAAAAACTGTCCCTAGTCCCTCAGGATTCTTTGAGTACTCATGAAATCATTAGTTCACATCTTCCTGTCTCTCCTACCTTTTGATACTGGTACCTTCATTTACGCTAAATATCTCCTGAGGCGCCAATGTTCTCAGCCTATCTGAGATGGCACAGGTGTCTTAAGACAATGTCTTCTGGGTTTGAGCAGTTCCAATATGGCGCATCACTTGTTAACTGTGTGTCCTTAGGCACAAATGACCATTCGATGCTTCAGGTCAGAGTTACTTTAAACACATAATAAAATGAAATATTCTTTGGGGCTTTCAGGGCTGGTATGAAGAAGCCTTGGCACAGTTTGAAGAAATCCAGGAGAATGATCATCAAGCAATTTATCAGCTAGGAGTGATGTATTATGATGGGTTGGGGACCACCCCAAATGCTGTAAGTTATTGTTTTGTTCGTAGTGTTTAGGATTTCACTGCAATGGATTATTTGATGCCATGTTTGTGTTTTAACAATGTGTCTCCATTTTTACACCTTAATATTTAATTTTTAGTATTTTAATGAACAGTGATGTCACTGTAGACATATATAAAAGGCAAAGGTAAATTCTTTGGGTCCCTTTCCACTCCGTCCTTCTTCAGCTCTGAATCCAAGCTAACAGCTTTTTGTCATAATTAGATTCAAATGTCAGAAACAGTGAGCTTCTCTGTACTTGAACTTAAATGACCATCCCCTAACGACTACAGAAATGCTTGATCTTTCTAGTGATTTCCTCCTCCCTATGAACACAAGGACTTATTCTCAAGAAAGGCCTCCATGTTGAAGGTGCCACTATATTTTTGTTCACAAGGTGAGAAAGTCTAGTGAAATAAATATGCACTGCCGCTTCTAATTCATTGGGTGCCACTTAGGACCATTCCATCTCTCCTGGAAAACATAGTTTACCACTGCGTGTAGTTGGCTGTTTTTTATTCTTTCAGCTCTTTTCTCCTTTGAGGGCCCCACCACCCAGCTCTCAAATAAATACACACAGGGGCTTATTCTTACTTATACATGCCCGGCCTTGGCTTGGCTTGTTTCTTGCCAGCTTTTCTTAACAATTATCCCATCCACCTTTTGCCTCTGGGCCTTTTCCTTTTTTTCTGTATATCTTACTTTTACTCTTACTCCATGGCTGGCTGGGTGGCTGTGTGGAGGGGTGGCTGGCCCCTTCTTTTCTCACTCTGATCTCTCTTGCTTTTCCTTCTCTTTATTCTCTCTGCCTGCCAGTCCTGCCTGTCCTTTCTCCTGCCTCACTAATGACCATTCAGCTCTTTTTTAGACCGTCAGGTGTTTTAGACAGGCACAGTAACACAGCTTCACAGAGTTAAACAAATGCAACCGAAAAGAATGCAGCACATCTTTGCATCATTAAAGCAAATGTTCCAAAGCATAAACAAAAGTAACACACCTTAAAATAATATTCTACAACAACTGAATTTCCTTTGTTGTGGTCTAGGGACAGGCAAGAGCTCAGATTCTTTTTCTGGACATAGTTCTCATGATTAACAATGTGCCCTTCTATATGTTGAAAGGTTTCCTGAAAAGATTATAGACATCCCATGAACTCTCACATTAGAAATTTCACATAAAATTTACATAAAAGAATTCTTTTTTTTTAAGATTTATTTTATTTATTATGTATACAGAAGAGGGAACCAGATCTCACTACAGATGGTTGTGAGCCACCATGTGGTTGCTGGGAATTGAACTCAGGACCTCTGGAAGAGTAGTCGGTGCTCTTAACCTCTGAGCCATCTCTCCAGCCCTACATAAAAGAATTCTTATACACTGTACAAATAGTACAGATGTCTATGGTTTTCAATTTTGAGGGGCCAAAGTCAGAAATAGGCACTGTGGGGAAAGATTTTGATAACCTTGCCTGAGAAATTACATGGTCAGTTTGCTATAGATTTTCTCAGTTGCACAATGTGAGTCTTTAAGGGTCATTTATAAGCTTCTATAATTCACCACACAAAAAAATGTTCCTTGCTAGCATTAGCTCTCAACAAGCTGTTGAAAATATTTTCCCTTATTTTTAAAAAAATGATTGCAAAGCTATACAAATATGGATAAGATTTAGAAAATAAAATTTGAATCTCTTCAAATTCTACCATCAAATGTGAATACTTATTATTGGTACACAATTATGATGAAGGTATTAATATGACATAGATTATGTTTATTGACAAAGGACACCCAAAATTCTTAGGTTAAAAAATGATAAGAGTCAACAAAATGGTTAAGTAGGTAGAAGTGCTCACTGAGCAAGCAAACCTAAGTTCGATCCCTTGACCTCAAGGTAAAAGAAGAGAATTAAGTTGCAAAAGTTGTCTTCTCGTCTCCACACATGCACCATGGCATGTGTATACCCTCACTAGATTTTTAATTAAAAAAAATAATAAAAATTGAAACATTAAAATGGGATGGCTAGTACAGTCCTATACAAAAATTTTCTGTGTGTATTTTTATATGCAATCTATCCATAATAAAATATGTGACAGGATGTATCTTGGTTATATGCAAACACTACACCACTTTGTATAAGGGACCTGAGCATGCATGACTTTTGTGTGCATGGAGGTCTTGAAACCAGTCACTGAGGATGTCAAAGAATAACTGTGTATTTGTATTTCATGAGTATGTGTGTCTACACACACACACACACACACACACACACACACACACACATAGATTTATTTATATACATAAACACTTTGGGGAAAAAAAGACCATATAATATATACCAATCTGTGATATTTTTTACCATAATAATTTTGAATGTCCTTCCTTGTTATTGAACATAATCTACATTATCACTCTAATACCTGCACCATTACCAATTACTCATCAGTAATAATTTTAGGCCTTATGTATGTTGTCTTATTGAAGACCAAGGGTAAATAAACTGAGTTTTGGAGAGCATTATTATAATATGACTTTCTCATTCCAATTGCTTTTTCTCATTGTATAAATAAATTTCACATGCTACCCAAATAACAATGTTTTTAATTTTCAAGCTTACTTAGACATAGCTTTCTGTGTTCATGAGAAAATCTGTCCTATCCATAAGGGTCTAAAATTCCAAATTCTAAATGCAAATGTTTTTTTTCCAGAGCTGAGGATTGAACCCAGGGCCTTGCACTTGCTAAGCAAGCGCTCTACCACTGAGCTAAATCCCCAACCCCAACAAATGGGTTTTTTAATATCGGCTTCCCCAAACCTTGGCTTAAACCACTTGCAGTCTGGTCTTATGAATATTACTTAATCTTTCTGAACTCTTTAAGATAAGAATAAATTACCCTGGAGAGATATGTGCCATCTCCCCTCTCCCTTGGCCACAGATGACCTTGACAACTGATCATAGTCCACATTTGAGCTAAATCTAGGCCTAGCATTGGATCCTTTGTCAATACAAAAATTTTAAGAAGACATTACCAATTGAATATTTTATGTAAATTTCATGTATTATGTACATTTATGAAATAAAAGTCATTAGCCTAACTAACACAGTTGTTAAAAAGACTGAAGGATAACATATAAAAACATAGGGCATACCAACATCCATTCGTCATTTTCTTCTTTTTCAATCTTGTATAAAGCTATCAATGGATCGTATACTTTAGATGCCTAAATTTTCTTTTATTTTTTACTCTTTTTTATCATATGATGAAATGAATGAATGAATGGTAGATAAGAGGATTATTTGCATTAAATACAAGATATTTTACATTAACTACTTGTTTAAAGTTTAGTGAGATCCATGACTGCAATGCCCTTCCTCCAAAGTAAACCCAACTGACCTCACTCTTAACGCTGGTCTCTTAAGGCCTGAAATGCCCTTATCTCATTTGTCTCTCTCAAATGTGGATGTCCACGTCTCTTTCTGTCACTACCACGTGTTTATAATGAAGTATTTTTCATCTGTCTTTGCTCAATCATCTCTTTGAGCTACTTTTCTCAGTGTTGAAGAACATAAGACTTCGTTCGGCCTTAATCTGTCCGCTCTCCCAAAGTATATGTATCCAGTCCCACCGTAGCTAACAGCTTCTGTACCTTTAAAAGGCTATCATACCAAAACCACATTCTGAAGTGCATAAAGCACATCATCCAGTACCCTGTAAATGTTTAACATGCAAGTCTCTGTCCCTTTATTTAACATCTAAGGCATCTACAAATATAGCAATTAGAATGCAAATAGGTCCTAATACCTGAAACAGTAGAGTTTCTTTGTGCACTAGTATCCTTCATAGGGGTTATAATTATCCTTAAAATTGCCCATGAAGGAGGACTGGAGTGATGTCTAAGTGATTAAGAGCATCTGGATAGAGGACCCAGGTTCAGCTACCAGCACCCAGGTTGGGCATCTCACAACCACCTGTACCTCCAGCTCTTGTCTGAACTCCTTGGGCACCACATCTTATGTGATCATACATGCACTGCCCCACCCCACCCTCACATATACACATGACTTAAAATGTTTAAAAGACAAACAGGGGCTGGAGAGATAACTCAGCGGCTAAGAAGAACACTGGTTGCTCTTCCAGAGGCCATGGGTTCAATTCCTAGCACCTACCATGGCAGCTGACAACTGTCGGAGACTCTAGTTTCAAGGGATACGATGCCCTCTTCTTGCTTCTGAGGGCACTAGGCATGCCTATGGTATGTAGAAATACATTCAGGAACAACACCTCTGTGTGTGTGTGTGTGTGTGTGTGTGTGTGTGTGTGTCTATCTGTCTCTGTGTCTGTCTGTCTGTCTCTCTGTGCACTAGGCATGCACGTAGAAATACATTCAGGAACCACACTTGTGTCTGTCTGTCTGTCTGTTTGTATGTATGTATATCTTAAAACAAAATAAAACAAAACAAAAATTTCCTTGAATGCCATAAACAAAGCTTGAAAGAGCCATCTCCACTCTCTGGGCCAGGAGCACTTACTACACAGCCGCCTGTGAGTGCTGGACTCGGTACTTGTGAACTGTACAGACTGATTCCACTGATGTATTATTTACTCAGTCTTTAATGCCTCAACATCACAGATGACGTCAAGACCGTCCATGGCGCTGGATAATCAAAGATGAGAAGGAAAGGGACTGGTTGTCTGAGGAAGGCTCTTTGTGAGGCTAAACGTTATGGACTAAGATACACACATGTGCCAGACACAAAGGAGCAGTCAGGGAGGTTTTCATCAAACAGGCGACACAGACAGAACCTTTCCAATTGACAAAAAAAAAAAGCCTCGAGGAGATGAACGGCATTTAGACAGACAAAGCAATGGCATCCTTTGGCAGCTGAAATTCAGCTTCTCCACTCAAGTCAGCCTATGAACTAAAATCATCGCAGAAAGTGTGGGTAGCCAACAGTTGCCCATCACAGTGCTGGAGATGAATAAGTTGCTTAGTTACTAGCCTGCCATACATAGGAGCCTGGGCCCAAGCAGGACTCTGGGTCTTCGTGGAACACCCTAACAAACTCTTTGAGGCACTTTCCACTTCCTCTGCCCATGGAAGCCTATGGTATAGGTTACAACAGTGACGTCAGGGGCTGGAAGTTTAGCTCAGGGTGGAGCTGGGGGCCCCGGCTCTGCAGAATGAACGAAGTAAAACAGTTAAGGTCGGGAATGTAAACAGACATCCTCACTCCATCAATCTTTTATAAGCATCAAATCATAAAACGGCTTTTAGGGAATGGTATTAAAACCCACTCTAGGAAACATTTTCAACAAGATTAATCACCAGGAAGATGAATAGTTGATGACTGTGAAACTATTACACCTAGGAACCGACTAATTCATTCAGACGTTTTAACATCTGGCAAAACAAGGCCGTCTCAAGGGATTTTGTTCTCCCTTGATTTGTTGGGTTTATTAAATGACATCATGTCCAAGACAGGGAAGAAAAGATCTGTTATACCTTATACACCTGGTTTCCTTATTATTATTATTTTTTATAGCAACATTGAATTATTTCAAAACCCAATGTGCTTCTAGAGAATGTTATCCGGGCACCAGAGTGTATCCGTGCGAGATGGCTCAGGAGGTAATGGTGCTTGCTGGGACCCACGTGGTGCAAGGAGAGAACTGATTCTCCCAAAATGTCTTTTCACTTCCCCACACACACACCATGACACGTGCTCACCCGCCACATGCATACATGCACACAGCTATACATACATACATACATATGCACACTAAGATTAAAAATATAATACAAAATACAATAGCAACATAAATATAAAAAAGATACAAAAAGATGGTTCCAAGTCTCAAGACCGGTTCTGATGTTCACTCTATTGCCATCTCTTGTGCTTCTTTGGTACTTATTGGGATTGCGGCAACAAGATCTCAGTCAGCTGGTTACTAAAATTAACTAAGAATGAGAAGAACAGAAGACCTAACAGAGGAATTATGGGGGGAGGTAGCTTTCCCTCCATGAAGCAAGCTGATACCATAACATATTCATCATACATTCACACCATGCGACTTTCCGTGTCTTTCTCTGGAAGGAAAATCCTTTCCGAGTGCTGGTTTTATTTTTAACTGTGCTTCCTAACTCTGTGCCCCCGTTTACATTTAAATCACATCGAGACTCAACTGTCACAAGAGTTATTATCATCTAATATGAGATTTAGAAATAAATACTAAGAAAATTACTGCAATGGTGGGTTAATAGCCACAGTCCTGTCTTTCTAAAATCTTTGAAATAGTCACATCTAACCAGAATTTATCAAAGAAAGAGACCAATTGAAACTTACCAAAGAAATAATTGACCACCAATTTAATCGGCTGCTCGTTTGTGTCTTGTCATCCATGAAGGATGGCTTCCTAAATGAGCTCTCGTGATTCTGAAAGACCTTCCTTTCTGCCCCTTCTTGCCTCTTCCTGTGCTCTCTTCTTGCTTTCTCTTCCTCTGGAAGACAAGTAAGTTGGCTCCATTTTCTCCCATGGAGTACCATTGTCACCCTTGCATTTGCCTTCTGTTAATCCTGGCATTTGATTGGATGTTTTCTTCATAGAAGTTGGCTCTGGTTGTAAAAATCACGCCCTTTATTTCCTCATAGTTGTAATGGCTACTTGATGATTTGTTTTCTGTTTAACCTATTTATCCCTCACTGGAAGTCAAGCTTTGCAAATCAGGAGGTGTGTCTGTTTCCTTCATTGCAATATGCCCAGCTATCAGATCTGTAGTAGACTCAGGGAGTATCTGACCTTGGGGTCCCATGCTGACACTGTTACCAAGATCTTACTTCCAGTGAGTTTTCAAGGAATTTTCTAGAGAAAGAGCCTATCTTTTGAGAAAAATTACCATGCCACCTGCTGCTCTGGTAAAATGTTTTCCTTTCTTACAAATGGACTCAGTAATGCAGGAAAAGAATAGTATATATCATAGCCTAGAGTTTTAGTCAGAAGTTTAATAGTTCAACCTAAGGGAACCTGCAAATACGACATACTACTTTGATAGGTTAAATGAAAGAAGCCATCATGGTTTCAGTGTGTGCTAAAAAATTCCATGAAACGCCTTATTTATTCATGGTAGACCCATTTTTTAAAAATCGTATTTACTCTTTCCCTAAAACATAGCCTTTTAGAGTTAAAAGCATAATGTAGGCAAAATATTTTTACAAACAGAAGCAAATTATTTTCTGTAATCATCTGCTCATGCTATCTTTTGAATATACTTCATATCTGCCCCAGGCCTTTATCCCCTCCATTCTGTTTCTTCAGACCCAAGGTGACCTTCACCTGGATTATAATATAAAGCACATCTCTAACCTCTTCGTCATTCTTACAACCACCAAGGTCATCTTTCTAAAATACAAATCAACTATGTCCTGTACACCTGTAAACAGTTCCCAAGACTTTGGTGTCAAAAGATCCAACAGGTGCCGGGCGGTGGTGGCGCACGCCTTTAATCCCAGCACTCGGGAGGCAGAGGCAGGCGGATCTCTGTGAGTTCGAGGCCAGCCTGGGCTACCAAGTGAG